CATTTTATGGAGGACTGTTTCCTGATCCTGGTAGAGTAGACTACAATGCCGGTGTTCCGTTGAATTCAGTTCCCCTGTTTCCTCTTCGGCGCGCATGCTGACCACAGTCTATGATGCTGACATATAATGCTGACTCACAGCCTGTAAGTACACTTTCATATTTAAAGGATTTGCCACTGATTATTCAAACGCGAGTTTTGAGTAGTGCAGAGTAGCGCTTCTTGTTTGTCGTTTCTCCGATCATAAATGCAGACATGGTTTTATGTTTACGCGGCGCGATGCAACGCAACGCGAAAAAAGACAGTATAAGTCATTATAATCAGTAATTATGTCCCCACTGGATGCAACAAATGCCTCGTTTATAATAGGTTTTAATGATTTTGTCTCGTCGCTCCATCATAGTATGGTAAGGGGCGTAACATTTCTGTCACACGCTTGAGGTATTCGGCCAATCACAACGCACTGGATAGCTGGCCAATCAGAGCACACCTCGCTTTTCAGACCGATGAGCTTTGTAAAAATCGACGCGTTTCAGAAAGGCGGGGCATAGAGGAGAAACAATAATGTACAGTATGTGGAAATTAATGTTTTTTAACCTTAAACCGCATAAACATTTCATTACAACAAATACACAAAATAATGTTCTTTTTTAGCAACGTCATATGACCCCTTTAAGTGATATGTCAACTTTCAGCTTTGATAATAATAAATTCTTCTGTTAAAAGTCCCATCTGGATTTGATTTGCAATTAAAGTTAAATGTCTCCTTTATTAATTACGATAAACCAGAATGTTGTTGTAGGATTAATGTTTAGGAAGAGAAAAAAATATTGGCCATATGTCACATTTATTATACAACACTTTTCACAATCCCTGTTGTTTCAAAGAAACTTTACATAAAACTGTTCCTTCATAACTCAACAAACAAATGACCATCCAACCACCAATAAACCTAAAAAGCTATAATTTACTCACATTAAGTGAAGCCACATCATTCTCATGGGCTTCTCTAAGTTTCTTCATGATCTCCACTTCTGCATTACAGCACTCCTCCACCCCTCCCCTCACGGTGATGGTACGTTCCTGGTTATATATAGTCAAGTCTTGTAATCTACGAAAAAATGAAGGAAATAAGCATTGCCACTTGAGGTGAACGACATTCAATACATAAACAATTAAACCTCAATCCCATTACTGGGTCCCATCCTATGAGACATTGTTTAACCACAATCTTTACTTGATGTCACTTGTTGAAGATGATCTGTATAGAGCAAACTTACGAAGAAATAGTGATCTTGGTCCCAGTATCTTGCTCTATCTTCTTCAGGTTCCTGCCCTCCTTCCCTATGAGCCTCCCAACAAGGCTATTGTTGGCCAAGATCTTTAGAGGAACCTCCTCAACACTGATTCAGAGACAGAGCACACAATATTATTTTCCTTTTTTATGTCTTTTTAAATAAAACTGAAAACAACATGAGGATATTTGCTTATTTACATGGTTTTAAATAAAAAAAAAGTCAATCCTAAAGCAAATGAAGCATGTAAAACTTTAATGTGCCCTACAGTCAGAAAAGATACTGACATCTTGGTGTCATTGGCCTCTTTTTCCATTATTTCCAGGATCATCCTGCAGGCTTGTGAACAGCCCTCTTTAGATGAGTGGATAGTGATGGCCTTCTCAGTTGCTCCTGCATTCTCCTTACGATGGATATCTACCCTGAGACAGAGAGCGAAGGATGACCTTTATCACATTTTTTTTAACCTCACTGTCACATGCTAATAAAGATGGATAGAGCAAAATGGAGATATAAGAATAGTTTATGATCTCAGAAATAAGAACACCTGAGGAATGTTAGTGATTAGAAGTGCTCGATATATTGTTAGCCAATATATTATTTAGTTTCATTAACTAAAACTGTAAAAAAAAAAAGAAAATTTTCATTATTTAAAAAACCCTAAAAATAAATATATACCTGAATATATACCTGAAATAAAATATAAAAAACTGATGCAATATATTTATAACTTAATGTACTAAAATAACAAAAATTGAAATACAAATTAATAAAAACAATATATTTTATATAAACATTTTGAAAAAAGAGACAAAAACAAAACAATTACTAAAAACTTTTAAATTAAAATGAAGGAAGAAAATATAAAAATAAGTATCTCAATTATATTAAAATAACACTATATTATTTGCCAATTACTGGAAAAGAATTACTTATTACTTATATATAAGATTACCTTTCCTTGAAACTATAACCCAGGAGAATAAGTTCTTAGGTTGTCAAAGAAGTCAATAACAAGTCGGTGAAACAAGTTTAACTTTAATCACAAATGTAAAATACAAAAAAAAATATTCAGGAAAACCTTTCAATTCTTGAATTCAACATCCATAAACACCTGTTATGCCTTTTCTTGTGTTACATTAAATGCCTTAAACACAAGTTTTTGTTCCTAAAGGCCGATGGATGACGGTTAGAAAATAGTTTCTTTTTCTCCTGCCTGAACAGGTCCTGACAGGCCAACATATTAAAAGCAGCAGAAGTGACCAATAAAGAAACGGAACAGATATTGATACATCAGAATAACCATAAGAAAATAATATAGAAATATACAAATACAGAAAATGTCACAAAGATACAGTGTAGTGCTGGGCTGTTCATACCGAATACCGGTGTTTATTTTTGTTATGATATTAATTTTTAAAATACCTTGCGGTATAAAATATCCACCGGCCCCTGCCATCAGCTCCCGCGTCTCACACACACGAGCGCGACTTTAGCACTAGATTTAGCAACTTTCAGACCCTTTTAGCGGCTTTTTTCCATAGAATATTCATACTAACAAACCTAGCGACTTTTTTGGATAAACCTTAGCTATGGTTCAGTTGGAAGATTTCGCCAGTGCTGTCCCGCGAACACGAGGTCTGACTTTCCCGGAGAAGTGTCACCTCTCTCGGCGTCTGTTCTGTGCAGTGAGCGGCAGAGAAGAAGCGCATTCAGTTGGCCGCACCGCAGCTGACTTGTCAATAAATGAGTACAAAACAGCGTTTCCAAGCACCTGTCGCTTACTGATTGTTTGGAATTAAAAATATGAGCGTAGTTCGTCTGTTAATATCACATGCACTTTTTTGTTTGTTGTTTTTTTTAGTTTGTTACTCAGACGCAGGCAGTGCGCTGCATGAGACAAAAAAGTAATATAGCCAAAACGCATGTTGATTTTATCAGGAGTTGAGTGACTCCTGGTTAACATTAAAAGGGATCGTGTTTAGTCACTATTTAGTGTGGTATTTTTTGACAATATTCACTCATCATGACAGTAAAATAGGGCATTCTAAGTCAATATACTGCAGTATTTCCTCTCTCAATCAGTAGAAAATATGGTTAACACCCGGTCATGCACGAAAAAAAATACCGTCATGTACCGTGAAACCGCTATAATTTTGAAAAATACTGTGATATCAATTTTTGGTCATACCGCCCAGCATTAATACAGTGTTTACCATGTTATATTAGGCCCGTCATTCAAGCAGCATTTAAGATTTCAATTTCAAGTTTAAAGTAGTCAAACAAGAAAACCATGTCAAGACCCCTATATTCCATCCCTTTGTGCTACATGTAGTTGTTTTTAAACACATGAACAAGAATAAACACTGCCTAAAATTGGTGTAAAAGGGTTTTCATGTACAAATATTTGCTGTAGTTTGTAAAAAAAAAAAAAAAGCTTTATTATACTAGTTATATAATAAATAATAATGCCTATTATGATTATCATATATTGCCTGAATGCATTATAAAGTAGCAGTTGACAGAAAGGAATTTTTTAATGTCTGATATCTTTGAAAGCACGATGGGCAATATATGTGATATTACACTATTTAATTTAAATCAATTAAAAATATATATATGTTGAACTTGACATAAATAAATAAATAAAGTTTTGATTCTGTAATCCTATTGTAGTAATTTTCAAAAACACAAACTATAAAAATCACTAAACACAAATAAAATAAAATAATAAAATAAAAAAACACTAACCAACAGTGCACTCAGTAATCTGTCAAGTTTGTGTGCAGTAGCAATCATATTTTCTCAGACAGAGCACCACACACAGTGTGCAGTACATGCACTTTTATACAGGCTGTGCACACTACAAGATCTAACAGCTAAATTTGCCAAAAGTTATGAAGTTTGTGTATTAAATATTTAGATATTCTTTAGACGTTAGACTTAAGAATTATAGTGCTTGCTTTTTAATTATTAAACATAACAGTCTGAGCTCAGGTGCTGGGATCAGCATAAAAGTCCCACTTCCTACTCCTACTGGCCAAAAAGAAAAACTTATGATATAACCTTGATGATATATCAGTCAACCACTATTATGAGGCCCAAATTCTAAGCTTTTAAAAGTATCAAGTGAGTGATTTTTAGTTAGCTAGCTACACATTGAAAAAATGGTAACATCTATATTAACTGGTTTTATTCAAATCAAAAATAGGATTTAATATCACTGAATCAACCTATATACATTGATTTATACAAGCAAAACTATTTTTAATAGGTTAAATGGGATAGAAATACGAATTGCTGTTAAATTATTGTTTATAGGTGTTCATAAATGTCCTATCGATGTATTCGTATTAGTGACATTAAACTATGATAGCTATTGCATCTTTGTAAACAGAGCAATTAATTGGTGCTCGGGCCCTAATTAAATTGAAATCATTACTAATTAGACAAATACTGGTTAAAATGTTTAAAATATCAAGACTTCTTACTTGGACTGTGTCTGCTTTGTGATGTTCTTTATGGTGAGTCCCTCTTTCCCAATGATGGCTCCCACAAACTGAGTGGGCACTAGGATTCGTAGAGGCAGCTCTTGCTGACGATGCCTGGGCCCCTGGGGGCCTCCCATGGCCCCTGGCTGACCAAACTCCTGCTCTCGACTTCCTGTCCCCATTTTAGATGCCCCTCGCGGGACCTGGGGTCTTACACCCCCGTCCCTTCCTGCCTCCTCGTCCAGTATGTACGACACACCGAAGGAGTGATTCTCAAAACTGTGATCTGTCAACTTCTCAACAGCCCTGGAGAAGAATGAGAGAGAAAAAGATCAGTCAATCATTAGATCAATCACTGCAACGAAAAAAAGGAACTGGTTACATTGGCTCTAAGACTTCTGTTACTGCCATGAATGGATTACTAAAATGGATGGATTCCAACCTTCAAAATCACTATATGTTTATTTCTCACATTTCACATAACCTGTTGCCGTGATAGCCACCTCACTATTAGGGTTGGGCAAAATGTAGAATTTAAGAATTGACGTTCATTCTTGAGGAATTTGAATTGAATTGGCCACATCCTGCAGGCTGCCTTGGAATTTGAATTTGAAATGACAAGAAGAGGTATTGCAATTCAAATAATGTGAACAGTCACTGAGCAGAAGAATTTCAGTAGTGCAACACAAATTTTGCAACAAAACATAATTATGACATCCCAACTCATAAATACAAACTTCCCAGGAGGATTTGAATGCACCAATATTCACAAGTTAGGAAGTTGCAATTATGATGTCAAATGCGGATGATGTCACTTTGGTTGGAGAAAGGTTGAGCAAGATTTTGGTTTATTTAAATTATAGCTGAAATCAAATTTAGGAAATGAGCTAAAACTGAATCAACATCTCAGTTCAACTCTGAATGGTGCACAACCCAGCTCACTACAAATGCTGGTACAACATATTAAGATACATAAAACAACTACTTGTTTTTCTTTGTGTGTGTGTGTGTGTGTGTGT